CATGGCTTTATGGCCAAACAGATGTACGGCTCACAGCGAATGCCATTAAAATATGAAATCGAAACAATGACAAAAAATCTGTTTTAAAGGAAGCAAATAAGCTCACAGTCTTTGGGATAAATGCTGCATGTTTGCCTATCCCTCATTTGCAAGCCTACGTCTTACCAGCAGTTGTGAAAGTTCCTCTCTCTGGATCCCAGCCCTCCAGGCGACGCAGAAGTCCGTCCAGAACATTACCAGCAGCCTCAAGGCCTGCTCGCACGCTAATAAACTGGTCGGCATTGCGGGCGTTGGGTTTGGCGTGAGCCTGCCCAGACTGAAGGGCATGCTGGTGTTGTTGGTGAATCAGCCCAGTGCGCTTCAGAGGCACTAATGGCCTCGGAACAGCTGAGTCACTAGGCGACGAGATCGTCGCGTCATACACAGAGGGCGACATTGGTGTTGTAGTGTAGCAAGAAGTACCAGTGGTGGAAGGGGAGCGCGGCCGAGCGAGGCATGTCGGAGCGAAGAGGGAATCGCTAAGCAGACGCAAGGACCTCTTCAGAGTATTTGTGCTGTTTACCAACTTGAGAGACATGAAAAGATCGAGATATGAAAAAAAAGCGAGTAAATCTTAAAGTAACGTAGACAATGGGCAAATGTGGGTAACCGTCAGGTTTTTATCTTTTTAAACATGATTGTTTAAGAGGCACCACCAATAAATAGTATTAGAATAGTTACTTATATAGAAAATAATTCTCATTATATAAGATGCATTCACACAATCTCGTTTCCAATGAGTTTTGCATAGCCTTGCTTCGCAAAATTTGTTCTCATCTAAATGGACTGCAGTTTTCACCTTGCATAGGCATTATCAACACCCCCAGCGGGACTCGAACCATGACAGTGAGGCATGTAAGCTTGATATTTTAAACACTACACCACATTGCCAAGAATGCCCTTGTGTCACGAGGCAGATGTAAATTTTAAGGAATGTCAGGCATTTTCCATATCATATTCTGTGTTGGGATTGCCGATGAAGCAAGCTTATATTTGCTATAGCAATCGAAGACATTACTTTTTTAATAAGTGAGTAGGTTTTCGAGACTACCAGTAACTCAGATATATGAGTTGTGTTCACCCCCATTTAGTTCTAGGTGATGAAGGACTGGTAGTAGAATTTTCCCACAATGATATGAGTACAGCTGACTTTTCCATTTAAATTCACAGTCTTGTTGCATCGCCTTAAACAAAATAGGGTGAATACATCACATATAACTGACTTACTGGTAGTCCCGATGTCCTAATAATAAACGAATAATTCTCATTATAACCATCATTATCCCAATCCATTTCTAACATTTTATTAATTAATAAAAAGTATTATTATTTTGCAAAATTATAAGCTAGTCTCAATTAATATTGATTAGCGCTTTTCGCCAGTACCGAGTTGCTGAAGAATTTCAATTCTGTAAACGAAAATAGAATGTATATACTTGGATTTGATGTTGCCCTTGAGATAAAATTGTTGTAGTTGAAAGTTTCTGATGAAGATATTAATAGGTCGATCTTATCAAAGACGATGGCTGGTTCTTGTTCCGCTGTATTCATTAGACTTTGCTATGACTTTAGGGTTGACGTAGTACACGAAAGCTCCTACTAAGATTCCGGTTTAAACAGACGGAGCTTTGCTCCGTCGTAAGGAAGGAATCGCCAGAGTTGATTCTCATTCCTACAAAAACTTGAGGTTAGGAGTAACTCTATGCTAACTAGCAATACCTAGTATGCTATATACAGTGACATAAATCTGATGCCTTTC